AGGAGTGAGCACCAAGACCAGGGACGTTTTGGTTTCTAAAATCATGAAAAATCAACAACTCCATTTTTGGAAAGCATAATGTCAGATACTTCTTAATCCCCTTTAAAAAGTGAATAAAGGTAGGTTCATTGCAAGGGTATAGGGCTAAAATAATTTTTTTTTTTTTTTTTTTTTTTTTTTTTTTTTTTTTTTTTGAGACAGAGTCTCACTTTGTTGCCCAGGCTAGAGTGAGGCCGTGCGTCGCATAGTCACAGCAACTCAAACTCGGCTCGAGTCTCCTTCTGCCTCAGCCCCAAGTAGCTAGGACTACAGGGCATGCGCCCACCATGCCCGGCTAATTTTTTTCGCGCGGCGCGCCCTGGAGCCGGCACGCCCGGCGCCGTATTTTTAGTGATATATCAGTTTGGCCATTAATTCGTTTCTATTATATGTAAGGACGGGTCTCGCTTTTGGCTCAGCTGGTTTTGAACTCCTGACCCTTGACAATCCCCCGCCTCGGCCTCCCACAGAGCTAGGATTACAGGCGTGAGCCACCAAGCGCCTCGGCCTTAAATAGTAATTTTTTAAAATAAAAATAGGCTAGGCGAGGTGGCTCAGGCCTGTAATCCTAGCACTCTGGGAGGCCACAGTAAGAGGATCGTTTAAGGCCAGGAGTTTGAGACCAGCCTTAGCAAGATTGAAACCCAGTCTCTACAAAAAATAGAAAAATTAGCCTGGTGTAGTTGCTTGTGCCTGTGTCCCAGCTACTTTGAATGCTGAGGCAGGAGGATTACTTGAGCCAAGGAGTTCAAGAATGCAATGAGCTATGATGATGCCACTGCACTCTAACCTGGGTTACAGAGAGGAACCCTGTCTCTAAAAAAAAGATAGAAAAATTAGCCGGGTGTGGTGGCGAGTGCCTGTAGTCCCTGCTACTAGGGGAAGCTGAGGCCACAGGATCGCTTCAGCCCAGGAGTTTGAGGTTGCTGTGAGCTACAATGACAGCGCACTCTACCGAGGGTGACAGAGCAAGACTTGGTCTCAAAAGAAAAATAAAAAGATAAAAATAATAAAAGAGTGGGGTTGCAATGCTCTATTTTTAATCATATGTCAACAATTTTATTCTCATTTTGAAATCATTGAAGTGTCAAAAATTCATCCTTTTAACCCTAAAAGTCAACAATTCCATTTTTAGTCAGGCCTGGTGGCTTATGCCTATAATCCTAGCACTCTGGGAGGCCAAGGTGGGAGGATCACTTGAGCACAGGAGTTCAAGACCACCCTTAGCAAAAGCAAGACCCCGTCTCTACTAAAAACAGAAAAGTTAGCCTGGTGTGGTGCAAGTGCCTGTAGTTCCAGGTACTCGGGGAGGCCTGAGGCAGGAGGATTGGCTTTGAGTTCAGGCCTTTGAGTTGTGCTGTGAGCTATGATGATGCCAGGGCACTCTGACCCTGGTGACTAAAGGAGACCTTGTCTCAAGAAATAAGTTTAGGCTGGGCATGGTGGCTCATGCCTGTAATCCTAGCCACCTCTGGGAGGCCAGGTGGGAGGATCACTCAAGTCAGGAGTTCAAAACATAGCGCTGAGCAAAGCGAGATCCCGTCTCTACTAAAAATAGAAAAAATTAATTGGCCAACTAAAAATATAGAAAAATTAGCCGGGCATGGTGGCCAGCATGCTTGTAGTTCCAGCCACTTGGGAGGCTGAAGCAGAAGGTCGTTTGAGCCCGAGGAGTTTGAGGTTGCTGTGACGCTAGGCTGACACCATGGCACTTTAAG